TCACTGTAGACCTATACATACCAATTTGCTTTCTCGTGAAATTAAGGTATGGATATGGAATATACATGTAAAAAGTACGAGTTTAACTATTTACTTGTCATAGTTATCCATTTTCCAATACTGACCTCAAAGCAGTGCAGTACTGGAAAATGTGTCATGATGGACATTTGAATGATACACAAAATCTATTTTACTAAGCCAGCAGTTTTGTCCACCGGGTAGTCAATTGTTTTTGCCTTCAATGATGTCTTCAAGGAGTAGTGCTACTACTTATTGAAGACTTAATATAAAAAATTGCATTGTAAATACGTTCAACTTTTTGTATTTGATTTCGTGCATTCTTTGCATAATTACTTGAAGTGTTTCAGACTATTAGAAGTTCTCGACGCCACAACCGCAAGGTATGTTTTCATCGTATAAAATGTGCAAGTACAAGTACAATGTTCTAATTTAATTTTTGCATAAAGTGTTTGAAATGAATGAAATTCTTTTTTCGATGCATTTTAGTGCATAAATAATGTACGAGATGCGAAAAGTTTACACATTTCTTAAATAAATGAACACATTACCAAACAAGTCCACAACATTTGGTAGATCAATTGAGGTAAAAAATCGAACATAAGACACATTTAGTTAGCGAAATGGGTTTACTTTGTCGTATTTATTGAGTTCAAAAATGTGATATCCTAATTAAAAACTTAAATTGGGTTTCCCACTTGCAAATAATCTTAACATATTAGATAAAAATGTTTTCTTATGATCAAAAAATAAAAATAATATGACTCTTTGTACTTTGTAATATAAAATTCTAGAAATTTTTTATTTAAAAAACAAAGAAATCAAAAATACATACAAACAATATAATTTTAATATTCGTAAGATAATGTACTTCATTCTTTTCGCTTGATATGAAAGAAGGTTAACAAAAAAATTAATAAGAAATTAAATTTCCAAACAAAAAACTTTTCCCTAAAGCTTTATGATGCCATAGAAAAAACAGTAAAAATTACACCAAGTCATTAAAAACAAGTACCCAAATATACTGCCAAGTAGGGCATCAACATCGAACGCTCTTAAGTCATAAGCCATGATCAAAGAAAATGTGAAGATCTAGAATGTGTGCCATTCAAACTAGATTCGCATTTGTATAATGCAAGATCGGCTTTTGTGTAAAATGTACAAAACAGCAAAGTTTAAACATAATAGCGAAAATAATTAATTATTAGTAGTGGTGATATACTATCTAATATCCTAATCTACAAATTAACATAATTTGAAATAATATACCTACACTTTCATAAGGTTGAATAATAATATAGTATACAGGTATATCTGCGTTCTCTATCTCTTTCTTTATCTCTTTCTCTATCTCATTTTGCCTAAACTGATTTGGTATCTATATCAATATGGGATTAATTGTTTGTCAATAGATTTAAACTTATAAATTAGCCTTCCAAGGAAAAAAAACACCAAACAGCAACAGCGGTAACACTGCTGTTACCGAACCATAAGAATAGACCCCTAAGATTAAAATAGAGAAGACGAAATTAAGTTCGTGTTATACCGAATACACAATTAAGCTGCAGTAGTTGTATTCCATACAATTGGATTACAGTGAGAGCCGCAGATCCGGTAGCCAATGACTTATAGTTTAATCAAGCGTCCGGCATTACAATTGGTACTTGATAGAGTCCCACAATTAGTCTTAACTTTCAATTACGACAGTTTAAATTATACACTTTGCCGTTTAAAAGTTAAACAGCAGTCAGTACGAAGATGGATAGTATTACGCAGTTGGCAGTCCAACGACTAAAGGTATCTTAACTTTAATTTATATTGTAAATAGGTAACACTATTCTTGTCCATATAAAGAACTAATCATTCAAGATAAACAATTCGGTACGTGTTTAATGTGAAAATACGTCAAATGCCTGTATTTGTCAACCTATTGATTTTAATTAATATTGACGAATTTATGGTAAGCTGGTATTTACTGTATACATACTTCGGAATACAATATACAAAGTCAATATAACGAGTCTTGCATACATATACTAAATACACATATATATTTATTTATGAGACTCATATAAACTCTTTTTTTGTTGTAAATGAATAAGTATTGTGCATAGCACTATATTTAGCAAATTTATTATTGCTCAATGCTATTGAATTTTATAGATTATAACGTAATATTATATCTTTATAAGCAATATTTTGTACGAGCGTCAGTACGCCCACATTATCTGGTTTAGTTTTCAATAAAGATTTTTGAACCATATAAAAAACAATTTATCTCTTCAGTCTAAATTCGTTGATTTTCAATGAAATCGAAAGTCACATAATTTATGTCTTATTTAAACTTTTATTAGTATTTTAGAGGTTTCAGTATAGCAGTGAAGCGACTGACTGACTGATGTCAGTGGTAACTGATTTCATAATACATATTTTCTTATACTGTTTTGACTTTTGAGCAGACGGTCTTAATAGTTAAGAGGAACAGTTTTTCACATCCACATTCCCCAATGTAAACAAATCTATTTATTAAATCAATATTATGTTGTGTTCCAGTTAATTAAGCTGTCATTTATTTCGATTCAAATTCGATAATATTAAAAATTATCTCTTAATTTAATGACTTAATTTTGATTAATTTCTGAAATGAAAGTTTCTTTATTTTAAAAAATATTCGTTAATCTACATAAATATAACTACTTTGCAGCGTCTGCCGATTGCAAATGTTTATAGTTTTATGTCAATTCATATATATACATATTTTATTCAAATATGTTACTTCGAAGTAACTCTAACTTGTGAATATAAAATATATAATTGACTATCTGATCATTGTCATAAACACATAGTATTATCTATGTTCTCACTGCAGCTAAATCAATTTATGTCTTATGATCAAAAAAGAACAAGAATTTAAAAAAAAAAAAGCAAAATTTTAATTTTTAATAATTTTCTTTATTAGCGCCATCGCCTACTCTCCTGCGGCAATACATGCATGCCAACGCTTGATCCAATTTTCCATATAAGTTTTATAGGCCGCCGAAGGTATGGCCTTTAGTTCATACAGCGAATTCTCTTTTATGGCCTCTATGGTCTCAAAACGCGTTCCTCGCAATGACAATTTGAGTCGGGGGAAACAGAAAAAGTCACACGGGGCCATATCTGGACCCGTTGATGACATTGGTAGAGTTTTTGGCCAAAAACTGCGACACAGCCAACGCTGTGTGAGCCGGTGCGTTATCGGGGTGTAAAATCCATGAGTTTTACTTCGATAAATCTGGCCTCTTTTTACGAATAGCCTCACGCAAACGATGCACAATGGTCAAATAATACTCCTTATTAACCGTTTTATCATTTGACCGCTCGGAAGGAATTCATAGTGCACCACACCACGAATGTCGAAGAAAACAGTCAGAATAACCTTGATTTTGGACTGACTTTGGCTTTCTCTTTTCGGTTTCGGCTCAACTTCGAAGCACCATTCTTTCGATTGTTGTTTGGTGACCATGTCAAATTCATAGACCCATGTCTCATCACCAGTTATGAAACGTTCGATGAATGTGTGGTCACTATCTGCTATGAAAATCATCTCTTTGACCACATAACAACGACGCTTTTTTTTGAATGAAATTCAGCTCAAAATCGCCACACGAAAATTATTCGACTTCTTTGTATAGACGCCAAACAAAAACTGCCAGCGTTGGAATAAAAAAAAATTTACCGATTGGATAAGCGCGGGAATTCAAATTAAAATTCTCGTGCTTTTTGATCACAAGGTATTAATCAAATTAAGATTTGGTCATTTCCATTGGAATAAGTTGAATTAAGCATATGAAAGAGGTTTTATGAGTCAGAAAGTTCTGTAAAATTTCTAGGAGAGCTTTTGTTTGTTTACATTTCAATTGTTACCAGATAAAATTTGGTTTTGCGTTGTTAGCTGAAATTAATTAATTTATCATGAAAAAGATAGAAAATGCAGAAAAAAAATATTATATAATACATATTTATAAAAAATAAACATTTTAAAAATTCTTACCGTTTGTTTGTTTTTTGTTTATTTACATTTTGTGTCATTAGTCAAATATGTCAAATCTCGATAATTTCTCTTTTGGGAAATATATTTTGCAATGCTGTGTTCGACATTTTTGGTGTAATTTCTCTTTATATGTTCTTAACTAAGTTGGAAAGCACAAAAGCATTTTGTGTACGGTTAATCAACCCCATTAGTAACCTAAATCAAATATATTGCTTTATTTAAGGCAATGGAAACATACTATAAGTATTGGTCTTTATTCGTGATTTGACTTATTCAATAAGACAACGACTAAAACAATATTTTCCACATCCACGCGCCTAAAACGGAAGTAAACGAGTTATTATTTAATAATTATTTACTTCAAAGTACTTTCGCTATATAACAGAATATTTATACAGACAACAAAATATATGGAAACTAATGACGTTTTTGATTGGTATATCTGGATTCAATCTAGGTTTACTCTTGGTCTGTCAAATTTTGTTGTCCAATCTAATATCGCATTTACACTGGCCTCAAATGATTAATTTTGGTCAAAAATCAAAAATGAGAAGCAAATAACTCATTTTTGCATATAAAATCTCAAGCGCAAATGAGATCCATTGGATCTTATTCAGTATAAATGAGCTCCTACAAGGTTAGAATGAGTACCAAATATGTTTCAAATGCAAATTAATACATTGAACATACCCTAAATAAAAGCTTTTCATGGCAAATAAAAGCTTTAAACAAATCGAAAAAGTGCAAAAAGTTCGGATACACCATAAATAATAGATAAAAGTTTTTTTTTATTTTCTTTCTCAATGTTGTCCAGAAAAATTTAGTTTTTATTATTTAAATAAACTGGCAACCAAAGGATATTTCTTTTAAATAATTGAATGCAAGCTTTATCTTAACAAATCTCCTGATATCTCTAATTTGCAGCATGCAAACTACGTACGGCAAGCAGCTGAGGATTACTTAGCTAGGCGGCAAGCTCGTAACAAATCGATGACACGTTCAATGACTTCCGGTTCGGCTGGCCCGATTCTAGCAATGGGTAATGTGCATTATCTGCCAGCAGCTAAAAGTGGTACCTTCTTTGCTCGAGACAACGTTTCGAATTTCATTACATGGTGCAGGTAAGTGAAAATATCTCCGAAGACCAAAAAATTCTATTATTATTTTTCTGATTATTTTAAGGGAATACAATTGTATCAAATAGTTATGTAATGTTTAATGATATAATTGTGTTTAAAATTCTTAATTTGTATTACGCAGAAATGTTTAATAGTAATTTTTTGGTTATTTACGGTATCTCTGATTTTTAAGCTGGTGGTGGTTCACGCTTTGTGTATATATAAATATAATAGGGGTATTCAGGCAACTGATTAGTTGCTTAGTTGATTCAAAAACTTCATATAAAAAAAATTTAGCATTTTGATGTTAATCAGTTGCTTGACAGCTAACAAATTTCTATACTAAAGTTCATTTTAAGTTATTATTACGACACTTGGTACTGGCAGCACTATTAATCAAATTTGTACTAATCTGAGAATCACCGAAATAGTTGATTCTTTGCTTAGTTTCATTTTTGTGTGCAAATTTTTGTTGTGATCAACTACTAAGCAACTAATCAGTTGCCTGAATACCCCTAATATAAAGTCTATTTCATAATGCTAAAGTAGTGAATTTTTTTTCGATTCTAATATATATCTACGAAACATAAAACACCGTTCTCGTTCGATGGTTCGAAACAAAATTAATTTATTATATTTAAGTATACACAGATTAGTGTTCTTAAGGCTACCTTAATTTCTACACTAAGAGAGTGAGAGACACATACCATCTCATTCACACTTTTATTTTAACAATATAAAAGTTTTACCTCATAACTCATTTAATTCATATCCTTTTTAAATTTAATTTACTTGTAATTTTAATTATTTTTATTGTAATTAGTTTAATTTTAAATTTAATCTTAATTTTAATTAGATTTTAAAATAATTCCAATATTTTTTTTTTGTATTTAAATAATAAAATTCAAATAATTAAATTTCCTTTAGTTATACCATAATTGTTTGGTCGTCTTCGTTTTTTAAGTCGCTCCGAATGGCTCAACCCCAGTGGTTAATTCCCAGTACGCACACCTTGCTTTGTGGCATAGACGTTAGCGATAGGTTCTGCTGTATCAACCACATCCGTATTTGAAACTTTTCTTAAAAGCTAAGTCTTCGTTTACATACGTTTGAACTTTAGGATTAAACGTTACTGATTTTCCTTTATATTTTTTCATTTGGTTGATATACGCAACTCGGGACATCCCATTTATGGATATCAGATATTTAATTCGACTTAGTTTCTTAACCACTTTTGCATGATTCCATTTAATATAGTTGTTTGCAATATTTTTGTATAATATCGTTTTATTTGATTTAAAGTTTATGAGTTTACTGAAATTCAGCTTTCCCTTTCCAAACTTGTTCAATACTTTATCTTCTCCTCCCATTTGAAACTTACCAATTTCCCATTTATTTGTGTTTTTCTTTTCCCTGAAGTTTTGGATTTATACTCTCCTTTCCGCACTTCAATTCGATTGCGGATGATATGGTCGTGATTTCAAACATTCGATATTAATGTTGTTGAAAAATTCTATAAACGCCTTTGAACTGAATGGTGGACCATTATCCGTCACAATTTTCTTCGGAAGCCTAAAAATTGCAGAAGTAGATCTTAACGCTTCTATAACTGTAATAGTGTCAGTTTTATGCAAAATTTTAGCATCCAGGGATTTCGAATAAGCGTCAACAATTATCTATCTATCGTCGACATATCTAAATTTTGAAATTTAAAATATCAGCATGGATACGCCCAAACAGAGCACTAGTTACTTCCCAGTTAATAAAAATTTGTTTCGAAGGTTTCTGGATCTTACATGGAACTCCTCAATTACAGCATCTATACCCGGTTACTAAACATTTGTCCTACTGACAGCTTTAATGCGAAAGATTCCGTTATGTGATATTTCTAACGTTTTTGGTCTCAATGTATCTAGAACTACAGTCCTATCGCCATATCTTCAGTGGCTAACGATATTCGAATTTTAAAGTACTTTTTTAAGTTATTAGCAATATTTTCTGGCCACGCTTTTTTAACATAATTGTACGTTTTTAATAGTCTAACATCTTTCGACAGGTTAAAAATGTTAATACTATCGTCATCTTCATTTGTATCTTCGTGCAGACGTAAACGAGACAGCGCGTCTACATGTCCCATTTGTGATATCTTTTTATATTTAATTTAATAATCATTCATTGATATAAAAAAACTGCATGTCGCTGCAACTGATTCGCTGCTATCGATGGTAGATCTTTTTTAATTGAAAAACATTCCCGCAATGGCTGGTGGCTACTTTCAGTGGTGAACGGTAACCCAAAAATATAATTCTGGAATTTCTTCACTGCAAACACTATCGCAAAAGCCTAGCGATGAAGTTGAGACTAATTTTATTGAGCCGGAGATAAAGTACTACACACAAATTGATATGGGTGATGTTCTTCACCGTCAATAATATGTGAAAGAATGCATCCTAAGCCATAAGGATTGTATCGCAATTAATTATCTGTTTTTTCAGATTATAGTGTGTTAAAGCGCTAATGTTCGCAATAAGTTGTTTTGATTTTTCGAATATATTTTGATGTTTTTCATTCCATGTCCACGTTATATTGTTTTAAGTTAGATCATGTAGTGATGATACTTCCGTAGATAAATTAGGTACTGAATGATTATAATAATTAACCATCCCCAAATACGATTTTAGTTCTTTATTGAACATTTCATCCATGATAAATTTATTATGCACAATGTAATTTTTTTTAAACATTTTTATTAACTTTGTAAGCAAGTAATGGCTTAAGATATAAAAATATTTGGACTAAAATATCCTATTGTCTCTGCAGTTCTGAACTAAAATCTAAATTGACAATGATATATTTGTTGTGTGTCAGGCAACAAACAATACTAAAACTTTTTGTTTATTAGTATATAGTCTATTTGATTTTTCATAATATTTCCGTTGGTATCCTAAAACGATTTCCAGATGTACTGCCTTCTTTTTAGTAAGCAAAACAAGGTGTTAGATAATTTAATATTTTTTTTTCCTCGCAACATAAGATCCGTTGCACGAGTTACCCGAGCACAACCACCACATATTATTAAATAATAGGCTATGAATGCACGCCGGCCTAAAAGATCTATTGTGCGCCTAAAGGCTCAACTAAAACAGTTCGAGACTATTTATAATTCTCGTGATTGCTGTAAGCTTAATATTACCTATTTGATTTGGGACTAAGATCCCGTTTCTAAGCTAATCAACTCTACGCCTTGACGCCGCTGGGCAGTTGCATAGAATATGTTCTGATGTTTCATTCTCCTTATGACAGAGTCAACGAGAATTTTTTTCTACCACACCTATAATCTTCATGTGGTAATTGAGTGTTCAGTGTCCTGTAAAAAATTCAGTGTAGTTTGTAGTATCGTTTCTGCTAAGGTTAAGGATAACGTCAACTTTGATGTGTTCAGGATCAATGAATCTTCTTGACTGCCGCATACGTGTTTGGGCTCTCCAGTGTTCAAGTAGATTTTGTTTCTTCCTTTAACATAATAAGTTATTTGTTAAGCTATTTGTCACCTCACAGAAGGACTCTGGACTAATGAAAGGACCCTTCTTTGCTATGGAGTGTGCTATTTCATTGCTCTCATGCCCTTCATGTACTGGTACCCACATAAGAGTAACATAATTTTTCGATGCTAGAGTGTTGAGAAGTTTAAAGCATTCCCAGACCAACTTTGATTAGAATGAGGAGTTTACTAAAGATTTTAGAGATGCTTCGCTCTCCGAAAGAATGCATATTTTGGTATCTATGGTATCCCTGCGTATGCACTCTCTCTCATATAGCTCTAAGGCATAGACCACTGCCTGCAAAATAAAAGCGCTTTTTCCCATTGCGATTGCTTTGCGGAATTTCGGTCCTATAATTCTTGCTCCTGTACTGCCATCTTCCATTTTGGATCCATCAGTATACCATAATTGTGGTTGTGTTTCAAGATAATTTTATTATTTCTATAAGTTGATCGGTCACTGATGACCACTTCGAATTCCCTGCAAAAAGCTAATCTTCTATTCATCTTATCAAAGGCACGGAGAATTGCAGACTTTCAGACACTTGTCGCAGTCCTATGCGGCACTGGTCGACACTTGTCGCAGTCCTGTGGGACACTGGTCGTAGTCTTGTGCGAAAAATATTTACAAAAATTTAAAGATAAATGAGGGTTTCTAAAAAAAAGATCAAATTTTTTTTTAAAATAATAAATTTTAAACCACCTTAATTTATTAACCAAATATAAACTATATAATTGATATAATTATTATATTAACTACTTTTGAGATATTGAGATTTTCAAAATTGAAATTTTTTTGAAACCCCCATTTAAGTATATATACTTAAATACTTTTAGAGTATATATACTCTTTTTTATATCTTCACCAGGGAACCACTAGAAAGCATTTATGTGAAATTAGTAAAAAACCCATTGTATTAATAATAACATATATTCAGACATCATAACTTGCAGAAAACTAAATAATCTTACAATTTTAGAAAAAGCCTTAAAATAATTGAGTGCCTATTATTCGAAACTGACGATCTCATTATGAGAAAAAACGAAAAACATGTTATTTTATGCCTTTTGGAAGTAGCAAGACGTGGAGCTAAATTTGGTAAATCTTTTTTGTATGATAAAAAATTAAGTTTAATTATATATTTAATTAAAGGAATGCTAGCACCAATGTTAGTTCAAATGGAACGACAAATCGATCGAGAGATCGCAGCGGACAACAAAGCGAACGGAGTCGGCTATGGTTTACAAACTGAGGGTAAATTTTCTGGGTGCACACAAGCTGATATTAGTGTTGGAACCAATGACGTGGCAACAGAAGTAGATTTTTTCGACACAGACTCCGAAAATGATGACGAAGATGATGAAGGACCAATGCTTATGTATGGTCCTCAACCACAAATAATTACAAATGACTTAAAGAGCCTTGATGAAATGGTAAGTTTCGATTTGGTCAACTAGGACTATTTTAAAAGAATCTTAATTGTTTAAAACTTTAATGAAATAATTTGTATGTAGTATTTATAAGTTATAATATAAGCAAAACTTCGAAAAATGTGCTGCGAATTTCTTATAAAATCTATTTAAATATTTATAGCTCAGGTTCTTGAGATTAAACTACGTTCTCAACTGTCACTTTTGCAGACATGAATGTTAATTTTTGCAATACTTTTTGTTATTAATTTTTTTTTTTCTGGTCTTATTCTTTTTTTCGACATTGTGAGGCGAAAATGGTCTTGGTTTAAATCATTCAACCAAATTTGATAGGATAGTCCTTATTAAAATGCAGGAATTGAATTGAAAAACTGATTGTGTATAAGAAATTTGAGTATCAGATTTGCTACTAGGTACTATCATTTAACTACCATATTGAAGAGAGTTAATGACTGCTCTATATGAAATGTGTTCAAAATCCCTACTTAAATCCGTCGAGAGTGAGTGTGGGTGATATGATGATAAACTGGGAGGATAGCGTTAAATATCTCGGCATCACGTTGGACAAACGATTCACATGGCTTAAACATGTTGAACTGAAAAGAATTAGCCAAAATTTTTCATCACCTCCAATAGTTATTCAGAAATGAAAATCTCAATGCTAAGAACAGGAAACTGATATATAACCAAATAATTCGTCCGACACTTCTATATGGTTGTGTAGCGTTTATCAAAGCTTCAAACACTACTATTCACTAGCTAGAAATTGCACAAAGCCAGGCTCTGAGAAGACTTTTCAAAGTTGCATGGTACATAAAGGATAGAGCCCTAAAATTATTTACAAAAACTGACAGACTTACCAACACCGAGTTATCAAATCTCAAAATGGTTACAGGCTCCTCGGAGAGGTATGCAGATCTGAGGTCAATTATTGCTTAGTCTGATGAAGTGATAAACAATAATCTATGTTAGTCGAGGTGTAAAGAGGGGTTTTGAAAATACCTCGAGTTAAAAAAGAATATAAGTGCTTAAGTGCACTAGCTCAAAACGGTTTAACGGCTAATATAATTAAATAAATTCTTTGAAATTGGGTTACATGAATTGTTTTGGTACATTGAGACGGAAGTATCATCAACATGTCGTTGTGGGTTTAGTCAATATTACAACTCCCATTTAAATCTTGTTTTATCTATGAATACTAAGAAAAAACTATTTAAAAAATAAAGCTAACTATAGGAGCTACAACACATTATGATTAAATATATACTAGCATTATTATACTCGGGTTGTTTGAATATACTGGAAATCGCAGATTTGCAAACTCTTCAAACTGCTCGAATGATATATTTTATTTATATTTATATTTATATGATAAGTTTTATATAAATACATACAACAGCAATCTAAAAATTTTAATACCGAATATGGTTTCAATTCTAAATCTGTCTATAAATTTATTACTGTAAACACCATAAAATTGGTGAATAATGCTGAATCGCCACAGGATCATCTACAATGACTTTATGAACGTCATTACTAACTATATTCTTCGTTCCACACAATGGCTGACAAGTGCCAATAGACAAATAATTAATCTTAATAAATTTTTTTCGTTTTTTTTATTTAAATTCAATATTCGATTGGCAAAGGACATACTCTCTGTGAATACAGGTCCACAAAATTAGCAACAAAAGAAATCTTTTTAAGTGCTTGAGGTAACTTTGTACTGATCACATCTGTATTGGTATGTAGCCTTACCTATAGGCCTTGCGGGACAAGCATCACAAACACCTGATCACAAATTATGCTCACGCGCACAGCGCTGCTTTTCCACTACAATTTTATTGGGTATACTTAGTTTACTTGTTCCCCAACTACTAACACCTGTACAAATGATATTTTGTACTGGTCTATCGAACAATTTTATAAGTAATATCTGGTCAAATTTGTTGTTGTTATTGTATCCTTTTAAATAAACAACATGTTTATTACTGTTCATGGTAATATGATCAACGATTTTTTATTCTTTATTTCTGTAATACACTGATAACATAATAATAATAATGATGTTTCGTTTCGATCATCATTAAAAATACCGTTTATATCTTTAGCAAAAAGAAAAAAATATCTATTTTTATATCAAGGAGTAAGTGTATGTAAACATACTTAAATATTGTATAATTATTCTTAAATATTAATAAATGCCCATTCACCAAACATATCCCTGATTTCAAAGAGACCGAATAGACTGATTGACTTTTATTTAAACTGTTAATGGCATAGTTTTTGTGATTGATGGTTGCAGTTGATCCGAAAGAAAGACAAAGAAACCATTTTTTTTTTCTCATTGTTAAAGGTTCATCGCTACTGCTGCTGGGTATAAAATATCAACAAACTCTCCTATGTTTTCGACACAAAAGCTTTGAAGATATTTGTATTTTAGAGTCGGTATATTAGGGAAAAAAATTCTTGTATTCCATGTAACAAACTGATAAAGAAAGAGTTTCAACTTAATAACGTCAGACACAAGTGAAGATAGTTTTGGTTGAAACATATCTGTCAGAAGGTTAGTTAGTGTCAGACGAAATTGTGATCAGAAACAAAAAAATAAATGTATAGATACGCAAATTCTGTATTCTTAGATATTCTATGTAAAAGTAACGAACTTAAAGTAATATTAATTATCATCACAAGTATTTTCACATTTGATGGTTGTTCTCAAATATTGTTATACAATTTGTATGGTAAAATTAATCTACTTAAAATTTTATGAAGTTTTGACATGGACTACACATGTATATTACGCTCTATTGTTTAACCTCAATATTACACGGACCTCTATAGTACAGTTATAATTGTACTATATAACCATTAGATAATGAGGTCAATCAAACTTATCTATTTGTACACTTAATGTATAAGGGTTCATGAGAAGTTTCAAGAAGTTTCAACAAACAGATAGGCAGACATACAAACAGAAACACATAAATACATTATATAAACGATGATAAAATGGGACCTACAAGTTTTCAATTCGAAATAAAAACAAATTGGTTAAGATATATGTTTTTTTTTTGGATTTTTTGGTTTAGATATAGATTTATGACATTGTGGATACGTATGTATTACTTCATCAAAAATGAACTTTATCGCTTAAGTTGATTTTTGCCTAATAGATCAGATCATAATAGATCAGATTTAAATAGTATTAACGTCTAATACGAAGAATTTCTACGCAGTAGTCACTTGCTTTTTAGTTCAACTAAATTTTATGGATCTTGAAATGCAAATCATTATAAGTACAATTCTTTGTAGTCATATAAGAAAATGAAGGTTCATATTGATTGTTTCTGGAAAGTCAACCACACTTTGGTTTACAACAACGAAACTCTTAGCAGTGAATTCGTGTACAACATATTAAAATGTACTTCCTTCGCCCTTTGCGCAGTAATATTTTATAAAGTTTTTATTTAATGGGGTTTTGAATAGCAAAGAAAGAAATAAAGGACAAACACAAAAATTTATTTTTAATTTTATTGAAGTTCCTGTAACTAATACCAAAGCTTCGTGAATAAATTGATACTTTCGAAATATTATTTTTGTGGACATATCGTTACGTATCTCATTACAGCTCTATGACGTTAGTTCTAGCGTTACATATATATAATTTAGTTAAATGTAAGAACATGATGTAAATAAATATGAAATAAATGGGTGGTAGCACTATTTTGAGTTTAAAGACATAGTGGAATATGTTAAAAACATCTGAGATCAAATAGTTTGTCAAAAAATCTTAATTAAAGGACTACTCCATATTTGTCATAAGTTTTTATAAAGGAGTTTTTATAAATTTGTTTCTGCAAATTTTAAGGGCAAATAATCGTTAGTGTTTGATTGTTTAACTTCTAAATTAATATAAACTAATTATATGATAAAATTTTAATGAAGTTGGAATACTATCATTTTATCTTACACAAATCGGTACCCTTTAAATATTACGGACATTAAATATTTAATCTAATATAAAAAGTAAGAAGCTATAATATAATATCTTTTAATAAATCATGCAGTTGTAGCAATAAGGTAAAATATCTTATACTTTATTGGTTTGTTGAACTCTAGTATTTTCCTAATTATTAGGCAAAAATCTTATTTTGTTTCATAAACACTCGAAAGGCATTTGACTTTCATGGAACCAACGCAACCAATGCAGTCAATAAGTTGGAAGTGATTTATGCGAAGCCATATACACTGATATAAACATGAACTTACCTGCATCATCATCATTCTGTTGATGATCTCACAAGGCATGGGGTCAATTTTGAGGAAGACCTAGCCGCTGTGGTTATGTGTCGTATTGCTGCTGTTATTGTTGTTGCTTTTATGAGACTGCAGATTGTTGCATGAACAAATGATCGTTTTGTAGGCTTATTTGTATGATTATTTGTTCAGACAATGGAACGCGTGAACTTATGCAGCTCGACGTGGTCGTGTCGAGGGCATACTAAAAAGGTAGCAAAACTTAAGTTGATGATGATTGCTGTGCTACTGCAAATGTTGCAAATGTGCAACAGCATTTAATGTTGGTATTCACTTTTCATTATTTGTAAATAGTTTTATTTTTCTGTTGATGTTATTTTTGATTTGAATTGACGACAACGTTTTTACAGTCATTTATCTTATTGTGGATATTTCTTTTTTATTAGTGTACATATATAATTAAAATACAGTAAAACTTCAAAATATCGATTTTATATTAATTAAATAAATTTTGTTTTTGATATTTGTACTCATATTATTATTTTTTTATTTTCAGGTCAGAGACTTAGTAGAAAAATGCACTTGTCCATCACAATTTCCAATGATTCGCGTTTCAGAAGGCAAATATCGCATTGGTGATACTAAGGTTTTAATCTTTGTTCGGGTAAGTTTATAAATCTTCGCTAAAACAAAAAAATTGCTTGAGTAAAATTGTTAAAATCAAATTAGTTTGATTCAACTGAGAACTGGACTTAAATGACTATTTAGTCAGACCATTCACTACATTTATTTTATTATCATTTAATTTATTATCCAAAAAAGTTAATAATGCTTTAAAACAAATTATAAAAAAATACTTTTAAACTAAGAGCATAAATCTGTGACTATGAAACCCTAAACTCAAAAAAATTTTTGCTTGCGCTTAATTCGTTGAATCTCAAAAATTCATTTCAATAAATAATTCGTAAATATGATCAAACAAAAGGATTGTTTTCCTTACCCTGTCAATAGAACCGTGTAAAGGTGCAGAAGTAATTGTTCAAAAGTGTTCTGGTTGTTGTTATCATCTTTGCCTTTGTGTCTTTTACTTTTGATTCCATATCTTATAATCAAAGTTGTGCTATTAGATTACTTATTTACTTTGTTGCTCATTACAGACGTTAATCGTCCTTGAGCGCCTCCAAAAGTCTCCGCGAGCCACCCCGATTAGTGATAACAACAATTGTACTCATGCCATGCCCGAGACACTCTGCATGACATGGTCCAAAGAAACATATTTTTTCACAAATTTGAACTTATAACTGTCAACAGTGATGTGGGTCCCAAAACGCTCAGGAAATTTGTTTGTTGACTGAAAGCACTTTGTTTTGTTATCATTTGTTTATGGGTCCCATAGGGCCTATTTATACTATCATGAACGTGGATGAACTTGACGACAATATGAACTGTCAGTTCAGTTTACACTATCATGAGCGTATAAAAGGTTTATGTGTAGTAGTGCAGAGCACAGAAATTGAGAGTATTCAGTATTAAAAGGTGAACATAAACATAACATTGCATATGTAAGTTGTAATGACTCGGATTTTCCCATTTCGTTATAATGTATGCTGGGGTATCTTCAGTCTCTTCCAGGAGTCGCTACAATAAATTTGTATTTGCAAGAACAGGACTTCTCATATTAAAAGTGTTATGTTTAATGTACTGTTTATTTAAATTATTTATTATTCATTCAAAATAAAATTTATTCATGACTATTTATTTAAAATTTCATAAAAATATTATATAAAACAAGAAAAGAAATTCATTAAGTAAAGCTTGGATGAAAAGGTAATTGTTTCTTGACTCGGATGACACGTTGACCATGGAGGTTGATAATTTGAAATTGATGGCGTGGCTCTTGAGCAAACGTTGGCAATATTGATAATTTGGGATTGGTGGTGTTGGTCTTGTATTCCTTTGATGTGAGTTTTGATTCTACCTGTGTGAAATAAAAGGGCTAGCAAAAATTAAGTTTTTATTTATGGAAAATTTATATAATGGTGTTCAAGTACGTTGACTTTAAACCGCCTTCGTACTTTTAAACAATTATATAGATATTCTTTTATGTATTATACATCTAGGCTTAAAACCGCCACTGTGTCAGACAATTTTAATATTTATTTATTTTATATGTTGACATATAATGCCACCGAGCGATCATACAAGACTCACTAAATTCTTAGAAAATTGCGCCGTCTTTTATACGCATCCTCTTGAACTCTTTGTGTAAAGTACACAAAGCTTTGAGTTGATCTTAGTTGAACTTAATGCAATTTCACACTTTTGCACAAAAGCTTCCTTGTGCATCTTTTTGCAGCGAATTGCATTTTTACGTTTTTGACGTTTGCAAATGTTTGTTTACTTTTTTACTTTTTACATGTGCGCGTTTTTTTAAATTGAATAAAACTAGTTAAGGTAGTTAAAATTAATTAAAGATATCGGAATTTTAATAATTAATTTAATAAAATTACTTATATAAACGACGTTTCCTTTTTGTTTAAATTACTTCAAGTGACGTGCGTAATGTAGTAGTGCAAAGGTATTTATAATTGTTTTACAATTTTCTAAATGATAATTATATTTAATAAATTCATTTATAGAAATATCCAACTATTGAAGTATGCTGTAGACGAGTGTGCTGGGGAGTGATTCCAGGTAAGTATTTATTTATTATCTCGATGTAAATTTTAATGCACTGTATTTCTTACAGATGATTCACCAATAACAATAAAGTTATAATATGTAGGTTGGAAATTTGTAAATTTGTAAAAATTTCCATCCTTATTTGTTTCGATTGTTTTTCTAAATTTGAAAATTCCGTACTGATGTCGTAGGTTTTCAACGATATCGATATCATCGGCCGTCTTAAATCTTTAATATTGTGCCGTCTTACATCTTTAAATCAGATTAAATCTGCTACTCATATTATCATTTCCAATAACAGGTTAAAGTAGCAACACGATAACGAGTCACACTGTCTGAAACCTGGTATGGTGTCAATTGGCTCGGAGAGGTTCTTCCCAATTCTTATGGAAATAGTGGTGTTGCTCAACGTCATTTTACATAACTGTAATGTTATCTGGGATACCAGACGTCTAGCTTCAATCTTTAAATGGCACGTTTGACAGAACCTTATATGTGATATTTAATACTAATCCCATGATAATTCGCCCTGTTTGTAGGATCATCTTGTGGATTGGACAAAGCACACTGAAATTCCAATTAGCTGTGGTATGCATTTTGATAGCTCTTTGACTCCAGCTTTAAACGGCTCAGTGTATAAACCATCAGCTCCTGCAACTTTGTTGTTTTGGATCCGCATTACAGCTGTTTTAACTTTATTTTGATCGAGAGGCGGAACAACTATTTTATCGTTAACGATAAATATCTCGTTTTGGTGTCCCAGTTGGGCTGACCAAAATCATCGGCAACTTACTGCGCGAGAGATCGTTCCATGTAAGAATCAACAATACCATCTCGTCAGTGCGAAGAATAGATGTCAGTATTCCTCAAGGATCTCCGCTCTCCCCCTTGTTGTACAACATCTATACGTCTGACATCCCAATGCTAAGTCCCTCAGTGCTATCATTACAGGACAGCATTAAATACCTAGGAATCACGTTTGATAAACGGTTCACTTGACACAAGCACATACAAGTCAAAGAAGTAGTTGCGCAAAAACAGTGCAATGGTTACAACCACTTTTCAAATACACTTCTCAATGTTCTTAATGCGAAGATCAGAAAGCGATCTACAGCCGTATAACTAGATCAGCACTACTTTATGGGTGTTCGCCGACTTTACTATCCAGTCAAGTTCTCTGAAGACTCTTCAAAGTGCCATGGTACATCCGCACGAATGACATGCTAAGAGATCTTAGAATGGATCCAGTCAAAAAATACATAAGGGACCGAGCCCTGAAGCTATATGCGAAAACCGACAGGCTGTCCTACTTAGCACTATCTAATATCAAAGTAATCAATAACCGCACGGGGCGGTACGCAGATCTTAGATCAGTCATTAAAGAATCACGCAGCTTATGAGCAATACACAAATTAAATCTCCCAGTTATCAAAGAGTAAAAGTGCCCAGATGCACTAACTCGGAAAAGGATCAACATCAACGATTAACAATTCAGGATCAACTTCGCTTTTTGTTGTTCTTTAACATTTAGCAAGTTCAAGAAGTGATTCCTCCACATATTAAGCATGCTCTTGACATCCATCACTAGATTACCATTTTGATGTGCACAGAAGTTATCTCCGGGCTTATAACCAATTGTCAGGCATTTGATTTTTTGGTCGAATTTTTGAGCCATATTTCTGTCGCTCAGCTTTTCAAGCTATTCGTACACGTCTTTCTGCTTCCTTCTTTTTTCATCTAAAAAGTCGTTTCTTTTCCTTTCTCTTTTGCCGATATCGTTCTTTACCAGCGCGTATCGCAACAGACCACGGAATGGATTGATATTTTGTGTATTTCTCTGCGATAACCTCACAACACTTTTGGTCGTGTCAGGCGTTTCCTTGTTTACTCTACTAGCCAATCACTTCTTTTGCGGCGGTACGCATAGAGTGTGAGATTTTGTTCGATTGCGTGGATATATCGGTTTCATCGCATATAAAAGTATGCTGATTTTGGCTGCAATTTGTGATCTTATTTTGATCAAGTGCAGCCATGTTGCCTTATATATGTTGAGGTGCTGGAATCTGGTACTACTACCTATGTTACCATGTTTCCATTATCAGAAAGCCTTTTTATTAACGCTGAAGTTTCCGACAGTAGCACCAACCCTTCTTTGGGTTGAAGTCTCTTAGAACAATTTTTACGTCATTATTGGTACAGCGTTAATATGCTTGTTCAAACTGTTCACAGAAAGTTTCCGGTGCGCTGATGTAAAAAAATGTTGCCTCAATACGGATTTTATCAATCCTTTTGCTAATTGGTGTAAAGGTTAAGACCAAATTTCCCAGCCTTGGACTTACCGCAAATCCGACCCCTATTTCGTGCTTTGCTGCATGGCAGCCGTAGTAGATGTGACAATGTTCTGTTTTAGAGCTTTCTTGTCCCGTCCAGTGCATCCTTGTATTCTTAAATATAATAACCTGCTGTATAGATTTACCTTCTCTGTAAAGAGTTCGGACATTCCAGGTGCATATTCTTAAATCATGTTTGTTAGTGTAGTCAACAATAAACAGTTTCCTTATCGTTTTCTTTGGAGTAATGGTTTTACATAGTGGGTTCCAAGCACGACGCAAAATCTTATATGTCAGTGAGGAGGATTTCGCTGCACATATTAGTTCACTACGCACGGATGATTCTATTCAGAAGCGGCCGCGTAGAAGCTTGTAAAGAATTATGACAAGGATTGTGCTGGCATTTACCAATTTAAATACGATCAAACACTTTACTTTGTATGTTCATTTTCCTCCTTGTACCATTAGATACATATTTCTAAAAAAATGTGTCTTTCAAAGGGGTCAGTTGGACAAAGTTTTGTAGTCCACATGTAGGACGCTTGAGCAAAAATTTATTAGAAATTTTATTTTTTAACAATGTTTATTCAATATTTGTTATTGACATAACTGTCAATTTTAAATTTATTTAATTTTAAGAAATGAAAATGTGTTAAAACAATACACCATTGTTTTAATCAATTTTTCAATTTAAATTACTAACTATTAAGATTAATAATGGATGATAAATTTTGTATACTTATCAAAAATAATAATTTTAAATTATGATAACATGGAGTTATATTGAATAATATCATAAAATTACATAGTAATTATTTTATGCATATTTATAAAAATGTATAAAATTATAAATAAAAAACAAAAACATTGTTTTTTAAGTGACAACAACTATATAAAATTTTTTCACCAGATGTAAAATCTTTAAGTTTAGTTTTTTGACAAATCCAAAGAAGATGTTAATACAGTTATTGTCCATGGTTTAATTTTTAAAATTACACATTTATTTATAAATATTAATAAATACGATTTGAAATATAGTCAAACTTCCATAACTCCAACTTTTATAATTCGAATTTTCTATAATTTGAACCAAAAACAGTTCGCCACGGTTTTACAAATCGTCAAATTACATACAATTCCGCTTCCATAACTCGAATTTCGCTATAACTCGAACAATAATTTTTTCACGTACTGATAGGAATATGGAAAAGTGCATCCTATAAGTCGAATTTTTGTTTTAAGTATAAATGCATTTTACTGTTAGGGGAACTCCCTTTTTTCAAACCAAATGTTCAATTTTCTCTTTCTTATGTTCCTTCTTTGTGCAAATGACAGTCGCTAGCAGCGTGGTTTAAAGTAAATAAAATAACTTCCAATGCTACTCTTAACAATTATATTGAGCTTGACAATGAATTTTGTACATCAAGCTTTCCTAGAGATGATGATATTATTAAGCACTATAGCTCTAAATTACTGGATTCAATTCTAAGCGCAACGGAAAGTGATGATGAGGGTTCGGTAGATGTAATTGTTTATCAGACTTCCAAGAATGAAGTGAAAGACTCATTCAAAACTCTGAATATATATTTGCAAACGAATGACTCTACAACTGATGATCACTATCAGAGTATGAATAGATTGGAACCTCTTTCTATTAAAAATGAAACAAAAATTATATTCTCAAACCCTAATTTCTGAATATTTTACTTCACTATAACTTCTGTGTTTTATTTGATTGCAAACAAATAAATATCTTAAAATGTAATTCTAGGTTCTTTCAAAAATAAAAAAAAATAAAAATATTCTATAACTCAAAGTCTCCATAAGAAGAACCTTTTCTTTGCCAAATTGGATTTCGAGTTATGGAATTTTGACCGTAACCCCTTATTTAGACCACATTATAAATTAGATCACTTGAAAATATATAACTGTGCTTAAAAAAATGTAATTTTCAAAAAATAAATGCATATTTTTTTGATTTGGGGTATCAGAGTACAAGGAAAATAAGTGATACCAACCCATGTGAAAAATAAATTTAACTAGCAAAACATATCATACACACCATACTGCTATGGTGAAATCGGAGTTCGTTAAAATCGGAGTTCGTTGTTTTTTTTCAACTTCTGCTCCTTTTACTGTATGAGACCATTAAGTCCCTAAACCACATATATACAGAACAAGTCCATTTTTATTCTTGTCAGGTCAGATGTAAGTAGAAGTCCATAGAATAAGAGCTACTCATTTAGTTAACTTGTAATTGTTTGTAACATAATTTTTTTAATTAGTTGTGATCGTTGTTTAAATCGTTGTTTATTCCTTTCTATATGATACAATCAATTCAGATATTTGGTTAACCGTTAACCCAATGGCATATTAAAATAAACGATTAAAAACGCCGCCTTGTCACTTTTAACTCGCGGACTAATAACTCTAATAGTATACCTCAAGTGCAAAATACTACTTATTTAAGCAATCGCTTGGAAATAAGAATAGCGTAAAGACATAGAAACCAAAAAATCCAAATATAACTTTTGTTTTGGTCTAGAGTATAAGGTTATAACGTTTTCAACTATTCTATGATACCAATCTATGTCTTTTGTACCACTGTACAAGAGTACAGCGAAAACCACAATAACAAAAAAGAAAAACATTCAGAAAGGTCAGAATATAAAAAAATTTGAAGTTAATATGTTAAAACTCTGTATGTAAATGTAAACTCTTCAGCCACAAAACTTACTATTACGGCATTCTCGTGTAAAAAGATCAGTCCTATCAGCAGTAAGGCAGTAATCTAACCCATTTTCGAAATAATTTAATTTCGTTTTACTTATTTCTTAATTGACCCTAAACTATGGGTTTAGGTCCGGTCCGTGGTATAATAATTATATTTTTTAGGTTTTGTTATATTTATGTGCTTTATTAACTTACTGTTAGCCTCTGTTCATAAGGGAAGATTTAGCAATTGTTGTTGGTTTTAATGCAAAATGAAAATTTTTGACAGACAAAATACAAATAAAACTTTCGTATAAATTCAGTATATGGTAAGACACCCCTGGAGGGAATTCAACTAACCATTTACATAACGAAACGAATTTAAAGAAAATATTATCATTTATATATGTAAAATTTGGGATATTACGATTATAATAATTATATTTTTTAGGTTTTGTTATATTTATGTGCTTTATTAACTTACTGTTAGCCTCTGTTCATAAGGGAAGATTTAGCAATTGTTGTTGGTTTTAATGCAAAATGAAAATTTTTGACAGACAAAATACAAATAAAACTTTCGTATAAATTCAGTATATGGTAAGACACCCCTGGAGGGAATTCAACTAACCATTTACATAACGAAACGAATTTAAAGAAAATATTATCATTTATATATGTAAAATTTGGGATATTACGATAAACCATACCTTGAGACCTTATCTCAAATACTAATACATATAAGAAGAACTTCATTTCTTTATCGTCTGTGCGATGATGCAGCAATTATATAAAAGCACTGTTAAGCGTGAACAATAATTCAATAACTATTTGACTCAAACTGTGAATACAGTACTAACTGTGATTTGCCAATCACTGCTAATGACATATTATTTGATATATTAATGATAAACCTATTTTTATTAAGTAAACCAAAACCAGTAATGCTCTGGTTAGGCTGGAATCACATGGAAATATGATAATCCATACAATGCCTTGAGCCGAAGAATGTCTGTTCGTCAGAAACTTCATGTATTGATTGAAACACATCTCTACTGGTGCAACATTCAAAGTAACTAGGCTAAGCGCCGATTCGTTCTTATAATTTTAATAGCCCTTATTTATGAAGTCGGAGTTCTGTTCAGTTATTATTAGTGCCGACTTGCAAAACTGACTGTTAATCACGATGCATGTCTACACCAAATGCATGTCTGCCATTTGGGTGACAGACTATCATTCACAACATGTTGGCGAGAAGCTGAATAATGTGCTCACCAAAATTCATAATCTGCACTGCGCTTTACATTCGTAATTTAAGAGCATATTTTTGCGTGGTTGCACTAACACACTTACAGCTTGCGAAACACACTTACAGCGTGCGTAAACACCCTTTTTCTTCAAAAATTTTGCTTGAATGAATGTGAACATGTTCAAGTTCGGTTGCTAGAATAAATTTGAGCAAGAGGAAGCGCAACTGGAATGACATTAAAAATGATAGCCTGCATCGCCCTTAAGACCTTTGCTTGAAAGCATAACAAATGCGATCGCTAGAAGAACTTTGAGCAAGAGCGAAGGTAACGTAACTGACCGTCAAGATTGCAAGTTTGCACTAGGCACTACGATCAACTGTAAGCAAAAAATATTTGCTATTGTCTTAGTTCTCTGTTCCATTGAAAGCTTAAAACCCTGTTTGCTTCTAATTTTTTTTAATTCAACATAGATATCTAATAAAATCCTGATTTTGAATATAGCATCGGTGTGAGACTGTTAGCTATCGGTAGTATTCAACATGATTAATGTTATTAATAATCTCTGCGATACTTTATTTGTAGGTGTGTTTTGCAATGCAATGGCATATGTTATGATTTTAGCTCCCATTAATGAGGTTTATATTTTACACACCATAATTATGTTGAAAGCAGTATTTTTTACTTGGATTATTTTAAATGTTGTTGCCTATGTACTTCATATTGATGATATTTTTCAATTGTTTCAGATTTTGCGCTCTCATGTGATGGTACGAGTTGGTGGAGGGTGGGACACTCTTGCTCACTATTTGGATAAACACGACCCATGTCGTTGTAAGGCACAACATCGGTCTTCAGTAGCTGCACGTCTCATTCCACGCACTAATAATCAAACGAACGGTATCGAGTTACACAAAGCACAAGTTATATTCGAAAGGTATAACATTTATAACAAATTACTTGAGTTTATATTGCCTTGAAGTTAAAACCAAAACAAAATCCAAAAAAATTAATTCTGATATCTTATATTTATTTATATTTATTTACAGTTATAAATATTTGGTATTGTTAGTGAACAAATTTTATCATTTCCACGCTTATAGAAAAGATTAATGGGGATTCTTATTGATAGAAGACTTTGCGATTCTGCAATAACAAAATTACCAACCCATACTGAGCGTTATCTAATCTTTAGTTACAGTTGTGATAATTATAATAGCTCAATACAGAAGCGAGTCCTAAACAGAAAAAAAGACCAACAAGCAGTAAAAACATTATATGCAATCTGGTCTTTTTGATATGATCTAAATTACAGTCAAATTTAATTTTTCCTTTTTGATTCAAGGTTTCATTGGCTTATGTCAAAGATATTGTGATTCAGGTGTATAGGAATTTGTTTATAAATTAATAAATATAAGTTATTGTTAGTAAAATACGAGATTATTTCCATAAATATATTTACTTCCGATATACCGATTATGGCTCGTTAAATTAAAAACACTGACATTTTAATGCAGTCTAAGTCTTTCAGTTTTCGAAGCGCAAAAACTTTTTATTTTGTGTATAGACTTTTAGAAAATAAATCTTGAATATTGGACGAATTAATAAAAATCGGCTGGCTGGCTATATCTCATATCTGCTATACGAACTAAATAATCGATACTGATTTTTCATTAGTATTTATAAGGATGTATATAAATTTTTTTAGGATCAAACGTATCAGAAGTTATTGATCCCATAACAGATAGCAACTGAGTAGTTCAGTTTAATTGTAAGTCAGTCAGCAGTGCATAAATTATAACAAAGGCAAATTGTCAAATTGAAATTGTCGTTGAAATTCTAAGGCTTTATTCTTAGTTTTACGTAGAACTCGTAACACTACTAAAAGAGATAAAAAATATTATATTTCCTTATAATATCTGATTTTTAAATATTAATTCAAGTTTTACTTAATAGATCACCACCCACATCACGTAAAATCGTTTTAAATTGTAATAACCAAATTATTTCGAATCAAATGCGGTGCAACAATGCATCGATTTCGCCATCTTTGGGAAACAATACAATTAATAATCTATCGGGTTTCCAAGCTGAAAGCAAAACCCGCAGCCGAAGTCCAACACCGCAGCGTAAATTTTTTAATCAGCAGGTTGTTGCGAACACTATAGATACTATTACACCCAACAATGCAGAAAAAGTACATCAAAGTGCATCAAATGGTTTATTGTCCTCACCATTCATTAATCGTAGGTCAATGTCACCCAGTCCAAGGCGACTAATCGATATGCGTAAAAAGCAGTCATCACTCGACTCAAGTAATAATGGATCGAAATTACGGCCAAGTAGTAATGAAATTAGCAGCAATCATGTACAATTCGAACGTTTGAATTTAGGTCAAGTAGAAGTAGGAGAACCGGTCAATATTCAGCATAATAGCGTGGGTGAACCTAGCACAAACACAAACAAATTTGAAAACGTCAGCGATAATGGAAGCGAAATAAGCGACGAGGGCTATCGTAGTTTGGGCGTCATTCAATCTAATCTACAGAAACGCGAATCACTCTATAGTCAAAACTCCATGGATGACGCTGAAAATAATGGTGTGTATTCATTTAGGCAGATCTAAAACATTTCAAAAAAGTTTTTTATTTAACGAAATAGAAATGTCTATACCCGTATACCATTTTTTTTGTATCATAAATATGTACTTTGTAAACTTAATTTTTGGCTAAATTCAACTCAAAAATTAAAAGTTTGCAAATAGCTTCACAGGAACAAAATAATTTTTAGTTTTTGCTAATGGGTTCGTTTTGAAATACAGAATTTATTATTATTAGGTTGTTCATAAAGTAATTTCGTTTTTTTTTGTGGAAAAGCAAGACAGTTTTCGTGTACGAAACAAATACTTTATTAAATTATTTATTAAAATATTTTTTATTACTGACATGTTCCAAAAGTACATACAATTAGAAATTGGTTGCATATCTAAGAACTTAGTTTTTCTACAAAAAGTTTTTAGTTGTGTCCATTCCATGACATGTATCTAGGCTCGGTAATCGATTAAGATGTTTTGGTGAATAGTGTTCGCCGCCATGTTGACTTTGAACATCCCCTTTTTCTTGATCCACAGGGGATCCATTCTAAGGCTAGAAGAGCTTTACTGCGCAAATCTTTTCTTATGGTATGACCGAGACATCCACATTTTCTCTTTTTGCTGTCATACAGTATACTAATTTGCTTGGTATCTTGTGTAGAGCCTGTATTATTGTACGGCTGTGAAACATGGCATACAAAAAACATCATTAACAAATTGCAAGCATTTTTAAACCGCAGTTTACGGAATTTTGTTCATTTTCTGGCCACGTACAATCATGCCTTATATAAATTGAATTTTTTATAACACAAAAAATAAGTTACAAAAAGAATGAATATTGCTTAGATTTAGATTAGATTGCATTATTATTTCAACATTTAGCCATACAGTCTGTGAGATGTTTTGGCATTCTCCACAATTTTCTTACATTCTTCTTAATTATTCGCCTTTATTTTCCGGTTTTATCACTTATTTTTATAGTGTCATATTCTTCTCTGAAGAATATTTCACATTATTTACACTTAATTTATTATAATAAATTTATTAAAAATAACACAAATAAATTATACAACACTTGCTTTATTGTAACTTTATTTTAGTGCGTCAAGAGCAAACATCAAGTGAATCACCTTTATCTCCGATCGAAGATCAAACGATATCTGCAAAGACTCCAGAAATATCAAATTTAGATTACCTGAATGCTACGTGTGACTCCGTTATAGATGGTCCTCAATCATTGCCAGTTAATTTATCTTTAGCATCAATGAATACCACTTTTGTCATTGATAAATTTGAACAGTCTGGTGTATTTATTACTGATGATGACATTACAGTTGACATAGCGAGCTCAACAGGCTTAAAGAAAACAAATTTTTCTAATAAAATATTCGGTATTGATGAATCCGCAAACTCTTGTGAGGACAACAAGTCAGGAATTATTAAATCGATTAAAGTGAGCAAAATACCTCGTTCACCTGTACCACAACGACGTCGCAGCATAGACAATGGCACTTGTAGTGGAAGTTTGCAAGACTTATCTTCCAACACAGGCTTGTCGGCATTCAATCGAAAGAAGCCAATTTATAGATCGGTTCGCAAACCACATACTCCCATCCAAACTAAAAAAAGCCCAGCAACATGCAAACAACCTCCGTTTGTAGTGCGTGAAATCACAAATACTTGGAATGATCGTACAACAAATACAGCAAAGAAACGTACCCCGATTAATATTGACACCTTTAATCCAATCGATACTGCTACGACAACTTACAATGGACCATTTGAACGAAACATAAAAACTCGTTCCTCACAAACATTATACGACAGTAACGGACGTCGCATTAAGGGATGCACTGTTTCTCTTACGACATCACCAGTTAAAAACCACACTTCCTCGTCTTTGGCGCAGCAATTGCTTGAGGCGGCAAGCAGTGCTAAAAATGATGCACAAATTTTGGAAAAAATGAAATGTTTACTATCACGTTATTCGTCAAGTAATCAACCCCTCTCTAGTTCCAAACCAATCAACAAAAAACCTATGTATGATGATTTTACCACAGCCTGGGTGCACAATAATGGTAACTTGGAACGCTCAAACAGTTGTTCTCCGCCAACAAGAACTGGCGCCAAACGTGGATCAGCAGCTTCTTCCACAGAGAGCACACACTCACGTGATATGTCAGTTATTGTTTCTCCTAGACGCGACAGGGGCATATCCAAAATTCCGGCACCCGTCAGACAGCATACCGAACTTTACTAACAACGAATACAGGCTGTAAGACATGCAAATGAAACTCAGCAAAAACAGTTAGGGAAAAATAAGTAATACAGAATAGTTCCGCATAGAATTACTAGAAAAAAGCAGTTTTTAAACTTGAAATTTACCTTGAATTTCATCTCATATTTGAAAAAAATTCGGTTTGTAATAAACTTGAATATTATTAAATACCGGACAATTTATACAATTGAAACAAAAATGAAACCAAAGCACAATATGTCAAATAAATGTTTTCTTAATAGTTATAAACAAAATATTGTAAAAATAAACGTAAAACCATTAACGAAGACCTGTCAGTAAAGAAACATATATTTATATTCTTTGCTGTCTGCAGGTCTGTAGTCTATTATATTTAGTCAATGTACAGAAAAGTGCGGGCCTTTCCATTTCCAATGCGCAATTGAACTGATTATCAATATAAGAAAGCAAATGAAAGATTGAAATGAATGAAGTTAAACTTCTCAGATTAAAAAACTTTAACACATCCATTTCGAAATTCTAAAATTACAAAAACAAAAGTCCTATATGTATTTTATGAAGTGAATTTTAAGAACACATTATTACGATAGCGAATATTTGAAACGATTTTAAACGAATTTTAGGTCCTTTAATTTTACTAAAACTTATAATAGTCTTGATATAAGTATTTATGCGTGGAGTTTTTGAGGAAATGAAAAGTACTGGCATATTTATATGATATGTGGATACAATATATGAAAGCATATTCTTATATATTGGAAATAGTTTTCTAGAAATTTTAAACCAAATTATATTATTGTTAAAATGTAGACCTTAATTTTACATTATAATGTAGCTTATATCAAGAACTAAAGATAGATTTTGTACGAATATAAAAAATATTATATAGGCTAAATTATTAAGTCCACCACATAAAATAGTTTATTTATTGTTTTGGAAATAGGTTGTACTGATCAAGTGTTGATTAAGGCAAAATAAAGCGAATCGTACTGTTGGTGGAGTCAAGTACATAAGTAAATGACATAGAAATTTTAGTTTGCATCGCGCTCAGTCCTATGTATAGATTAAGCTCTTTTAATATTGTGACGAGTATTTCAAGTACCAAACTATTAATTTTTAGTTAGGGTTGTGAGAAATTAAAAGGTCCTCAATTTATAAATCTAATATTAAACCAGCAACAATAGAATAGTAAATTCCTTACTACAGAAGTTAAAGGGATAACTTCTTAGATAAATGCGAAAAATAGAAAATTCCTGGAAGGATCACTTAAAATCAAACGATCATTAAAAAATGATTCAAATAATTATAAAAATTATATATACCTAATAAAAGTGATACAACAATAAAATAAAATTTAAATTAATAAAATTTATACAAATAAGTTTTTAAAATATGAATGATTCAACTAGAAGTTGACTGATTCTAAATATGAATATTAAAAATATTTTTAAATTATTTGGTGCTTAAGGCTTCTTATTTTCCTCAATCAATAAAATAATTTTTAAAACGCGATAAATATAAATTCTCTTATAACCAATATTAGTATAACCAATATTTTTTAATCCACTAAGCTCTTTTATAATTAGTCCATTATCTGATATATTGTGAAACTTATACGTATTTAAGTAAAGTTTATCTAACGTCTCAAAGAACTATTATGTTAAATATATACATGAACCTTGAAAAATTGTAAAACAAAATTTAGTAACAGCTCATTACTTTATTAAATAGCTTTCTAATAATAAAAATATATTATTGTAATTACACTATTGTTATATATATACATATATATATATATAAAACTATATTTCACTCTCTTTCGCCTAAAAAAATGTTAATATCTTTTACTTATTTTAAGTGTGTTAAATTTAAATTTCCTGAAATTTTTGTTTATTTTTCATTTCAAATAAAATAATTTTTTGAGTTTAAATTATAACATAATTATAAACGTACCACAATTTGCGGATTATCTATTGATGCATTGTACCCGTGTGTACGAGTATGTCTTAAGCCGAAACACGTTACTTTAAAATTAAACTTTTAAATTAATTCTAATAGATGAAAACATATGCTAACTGCAATGAAATTGTGACACTAATTAATAAATTAATACCTTATAGTTTTTGTATGTTACGTTGAAACGTTAATGTATTGCAAATACATCTATAGTTAAGAAGAAATTGAACGCAGAGATATTCAAATATATGGAATAAGAACAGATGTGTCCTTATTTTTAATAAATGTAATACTTGAAAATCTTGAAAACATATAGTAAAATCAAGCAATAAAATTTTTGCACTCATATTGATCTATGTTTCTGTTATTTTTGATTTTAACAATATTTTCCTGTAATTGAATTGGCAATTTACAAGAAAGCCGACCACCGAATAATGAATACGAATATTTATTTAAGATTTAAGTATTAAGAATTCATGTTGTTAGGAGAATATATTGGAAACAACGGATTTATGTAACTAAATTATTCGAATTAAGTAGAATTTGGGTGCAAGTTACAAAATCCGAACTTATAGTTTATAGTGCATTGGCAGTCTAATTGGGTCTTTCTTCCACAGTTGGCTTCCACATTAGTTTAAGGGATTTTGCGTTTTTATTACAAGAGTGAGCCCGGTGAAACCGGTAGTGCGCTCTGTCATTTCTCTTTCAATTGTCCTTCTCCAAGTTAATGCCGGTGCATTTGGGTGTCTGCCGCCTTGTGGGTTCCATGTCAAAACTTATTGTGGAATGTGTTTATTTCGTCGTCGGATAGTATGCCCTATCCAAATCCATTTTCGCTTCTTTATTTCGGTTACAGCAGCTTTCTAGTTTGTTTGGAACAAAAGTTCTGCATTTGATATGCGGTTAAGCCACCATATTTCTAAGATTTTCCGCAGGCATTTATTTAAAAATGTTTGTATCTTCTGTTGCCGCGATTTCCAAATATTCCGCAATTGTCCAAACACTGCTTGTGCCTTCTTCATGCGTGTTGCAACTTCCTCATTATTACAAAAAATGAATAGGATGAATAGGATAGGTGACAGAATACATTCTTGTCAAACTCCCGTTTTTACTCGAAAAGTCTGAGACAGTTCGTTTTTGTGTACGACCTTACATTTTATGTTGTTGTATAGTTGTTTGATGAGATGTATGATTTTTATAGGCATACCTTTTTTCCGTAATGCATACCAGATAAATTTGCGGTTGCGGTTGTCAAAGGCTTTTTTGAAATCTAAGAAAACTGCATATACCTATGTGTGCTCGAAACTCATCACATTGTTCAAAGATGATGCTGGTTTTTCCTTAAGATATTATCTGTAGCTGTAGAGATTCACTAATAATTGTTGTGCATGTTTTGTTAGGTATAGGTAGTAGGCTATTCTCTCTAAAGTTATTGTAGTCGGATGTGTCAGCTTTTTTGGGATTTTTAACTAGAAGGCTCTCACTCCATCTCTCCAGCATATTTTCTACTTCTACCAATTTTATTCATAATTGGCCACCAGATGTAAACTGTTGTGTTGTTGTTTTTAAGCTTGTTTATTGCAGATGCTACTTCAGATCTTGTTTGCGACTCGATAGTGATATTTCGAAAAGTTTGATCTTGCTGAACACCTTTTTCATTTTCCACCAAGCCACTAAGGCCTATTTGATTGTTCAAGACTTCCTTGAAATGTTCGCCCACCGCATGATTTGTTGTTCAATGTTGGTAAGTACATTGCCTTGTTTATCTTTTATGGGTTTATCCTATTTTGTTGTTGTACCAGACAGACCTCTCTTGATAACATAAAGTGTTTTCATGTGGAAGAGCTCTTATGGAATGCGAATGGCTTAACAAAACATAAAAATGAACTCGAAGTCGTATTAAATAGCGAAAACATTGATATCGGTTTAATCGCTGAAACTCATTTTACTAAGCAATCGCACATAACGTTTAAAAACTATATTCTATACCATACCATACATCCCGATAATTCCGCTAGGGGTGGCAGCGCTGTCATAATTAGAAACTCGATAAAACATCACTTACTAGAACAATATAGCACAATTGAATTTCAAGCTACTTCTGTTTCCGTGGAAACCTTTAATCAGCCGCTGGTCGTAACTGCATTATATAGTCCTCCCAGGCATCAGTTGAAGTGCGCAGACTACTTATCTGTTTTTAACCGGTTTCATGGCCGTTTTATAATTGGAGGAGACTTAAACGCAAAAAATACGTTTTGGGGTTCAAGACTTACTACAACGAAAGGAAGAGAAATGTACAAAGCCATGCAACTCACAGCTTGCAATTCAATTTCAACTGGTAAACCAACGTACTGGCCGTCGGATACTAGCAAAGTTCCAGACCTAATCGACTTCTTTGTCTACAAAAACATTCCAGCATCTCACCTAACCATCTGAGAAGGCTTCGACTTTAGCTCTGACCACTCACCAGTGCTGCTGATAGTTTCACAAAATCCAACAATAAACCAGAACCCACCCAAGTTAGCAAATACATTTACTGACTGGAAATATTTTCAGCTTCAGCTTGTACATTTGCTCAAATTTGATCATATTGTTAACAGCAAGCAACTAGATGACGCAGTACTTCATTTCACTCAGCAATTGCAGATGGCAGCGTGGAACAGTACACCAACACCAAAACTCCAAACTCTACATGGTAAAAAATACCCACCCTTCATCACAAAAAAGATTACGGAGAAGCGAAAATTGCGAAAACGTTGGCAAGCAACTAGATGTCCGTTAATTAAATCGCAACTAAACCGAGTAACTAAAAAGTTACACACAGCCATCAAATCATATAAAAATAATACCTTTAATAGTTTCGTGATGGGCCTCACGGCAGACAAAAATAATGAATAGTCTCTGTGGAAAGCTGGTAAATCATTTAACAGACCAATGCAGCAGTTTGCCCCAGTGAAAATAAATGAAACTCAGTGGGCTAAAACAAATACTCAAAAAGCGAACCAGTTTGCTGAGCACCTAGAGAAAACCTTCAGTCCAAATGAAGGCCAAGATATTATTGGGTCATGTACAAATTGGCCTGAAGGCGACACTGCAATTGTACCAGTCACTACGGAAGAAGTGAGTAAACAAATCTTAAAAATGAAACTCAAAAAATCTCCTGGTTTTGACTTAATAACGGCTGAAGTTCTTCGGAACTTACCCAATAACTGCATCATCTACCTATGCGATTTAATCAATTTGTGCCTCCGTTTAAATCATGTACCAATTTTTTGGAAATTCGCTAAGGTAATTATGATACCCAAACCGGGGAAATCTCCCAATGACGTATCCTCATATAGGCCAATATCTCTATTGCCAACCTTATCGAAGCTTTTTGAAAAACTACTACTAGCGCGTTTATTACCAATAATCGAGAGAAGACGCTTAATTCCGGATCATCAATTCGGCTTCAGAAAAAACCACTCAACCATCGACCAAATACATGTAGTCGTAAATGCCATTGAATCGGCGATGCAAGAGAAGAAAGTGTGTTGTACCGTCTTAGATGTATCATAAGCCTTCGATAAGGTTTGGCATGAAGGATTACTTCATAAACTCAAATCATTATTGCCTATACAATACTGTAAGCTACTATAATCGTATCTAAACTGAAGTTAATACTACCGACACGATTGACAGTTTATATTTAACTGAATTGTGTTTACATTTCATTATTTAAGATTGTTTAAACTAATGCAAAACATACTAGATTATAACACTTTCTCCGCCCTTAATTTTTGACAAAGTTTAAGTTTTCCTGAAATCGTCAGATTCAAATCGATTTACATCCTTCCGAATACGACCACTTTTTCGAAGTTGAATTACTTCGATAGAACGTTCTTCACTAGGCATTAATGTTGATTGGCTAGATGAAGGCGGTGTGGCATTGATGAAATTTGGAGCGAATTCAAAAATTGGTTGTGAAGAGAGGTCAGAGCTACTTCTAGTTTTAAGCTGATTAACGTGACGTTTGATGTAACCAAAAGATGTGTTCACTCGGTAAACCATTTTACCAAGTTGTTTCACAATAACTCCTTTTATCCATTTTTCCCCTCTTGCGTAGTTTCTAGCGAAGACGGGTTGCTTTAGACTGAATTTCATTTTCCGTTTCGAAGCTTCAAGGTGCTTCCTAGGCGATTCAAACAGTTGACTCAACAAGGTACGAACAGGCCTTCCATGTAAAAGTTCTGGAGGTGATTTACCCTCAGCATTCGGCATTGCACGATATGTTGCAAGGTATTTTGATACAGCGAATTTGAGAGACAATCCATCGTCAATGTTTTTCTTAACAGCAGTTTTAAAAGATCTGACGAATCGTTCGGCTAACCCGTTTGAGGCTGGATGAAACGGCGCTGTTGTTATATGTTTGATGCCAAGTTTTGAGCAAAAATGTTTGAATGCTTCAGCTGTAAATTGCGGACCATTGTCACTTACGATGGTTTCTGGTATACCTTCCAGAGAAAATATAGAAGACAATGCTGATATGGTGTCAACCGTTGTTGTTGTAAATAGTTGTACAACGAACGGAAATTGCGAGAAAGCGTCGACACAAATTAGCCACATTGAATTACAAAATGGACCAGCAAAGTCGATATGTACTCTCTCCCAAGGTCGATCAGCTTCAGGCCAGCTTACGTATTCACGTGCGTGAACAGGATTTGCAATTTTGCACACATCACAATTTTCAGTTAATTGTGCGATGTCTTTGTCAATATTAGTCCACCAGACATGTTGTCGAGCTAGCTCTTTCATTCTCGATACTCCCCAATGACCATCATGAAGAAGTTTAAAAACTTCTGCTTAAGGGAGGCTGGAATGACAACCCGGTTGTACTCCGTCTGGAGGCAAAGCAAATTGTTGTTTAGTATTAAAGCAAAACGAAGATTGAAAAATGATCGAAGATCTGCATCTTGTGGCATTAGCTTTTCAGGCCAACCGTCATTTTTGGTCATTTTTTGGCATGCTGACGAATTATTTCAGCGTCGATAGGTGTGTTAAGTTCATTGATATTGAAACAGGATTCTTCATGATCAAAAGTTTTATCTTCACCAACAGGTAAACGAGATAAAGCATCGGCATTTCCATGCTCAGTAGTTTTACGATACCGAACATCATACTGATAAGCCATTAGTATAATAGCCCATCGCTGTAAACGATGTGACGTCATCGACGGCAACTGATGAATTGGATTAAAAAAGGCTAACAAGAGGTTTGTGGTCAGTAACCAAGGTGAATCTTCTTCCGTATAAATATTGATGGAAACGCTTGACTTCAAAAACGATAGCTAGCCTTTTCTTCTCTATCTGACTATATCGTCGTTGATGAATGTCGAGAATTTTAGATGCAAAAGCAATAGGCCTTTCTGTACCGTCAACATACGTATGCGAGAGCACAACTCCTATGCCATAGGAGGAGGCATCTGTAGCTAGAACCAACGGTAAATCTTCCTGATAATGTGCTAATTGCGCTGCATTGAGAATATGCGTTTTAAGAGCTATAAATGCTTGTTGTTGTGCTGTACCCCATGTGAATTTTACATTTTTTCGCCGCAGCATGTTGATTGGCGCGGATAATTGCGAAAAATTAGGTATAAAATTATGGTAGTAGTTTACCTTACCCATGAATGCTTCTGCTTGCTTTAGATCTTTAGGCGGCTGCAGGTTTTTGACTGCTTTTAGTCCTGACTCATCTGGCAATATACCTTTTGCACTAATTTGACGCCCGAGATATTCGATTTTATCTCGCAGAAAGAAACATTTTTCTTGCTTGCACCTTGCTTGCACCATTTTGTTGTAAAATACGAAGTACTTGTTCTAGGCGGCTGATGTGTTGTTGAAATGTAGGTGCGGAGATGATGATGGCATCGAGATAATTTCCGCAACCTTCTACATTTGTAAATACGCATCCTTAAGGTCGATTTTTGTAAAATGTTGACCGCAATTAATTTTATGGAAAAGACTTTCGCGTATGGACAAAGGATATTGTTCAATGTCAATTTGCGCATTGACTGCTTGTTTAAAATCCCCACAAATTCTTATGGAACCATCAGCTTTTGGCGCTAGTACAATAGGCGACCCCCATTGGGAAAACTTCACAGGTTTCCAAATACCCGCATTTGTCAATCGATCGACTTCTTTCTTGAAAAGTGACATTTGCGAAAATGGAATTTGTCGGCTTTTGTAAAATTTCGGATGTGCATTTGGCTTTAAAAAAATACTGACCTTAAAGTTTTTAATTGTGCCAAGAGCTGGTTCAAAAATATCACCATATTTTTTACACAGCTCGCTAATTCTGTGTGATTCACTTTCAGTAATGTTACAAATTTGCTGAATCTCAAACCCGAATTCTTTGAATAAATCGAAACCGAATAAATTGTTACAGTTTTCGACAGCCACGACAACGATTACCACTTCCCTTTCTTTTCCGCCACATTTGATATCTACGCAAAGTTCACCAAGCACTGGAATTTCATTTTTGCCAAAACCAAAAGAGGTTTTTGTACAATTCCGCAACTTTGGGCAATTTAGAGTTTTGAATGTTCGCTTATTTATTAGAGAAACTGTTGCACCAGAATCCATTTGGAAAGACACAATTTTATTACAAATTTCCAAGTCAATGTAATTCTTATTGCTTTCAGTTTTTACAATACCTGTTAAACTGTTAATTGTTTCAACAGTACCAATGTTGTGACTTTTACGACGATAATCCTTCTTCTTGTTTTCATCACCTGAACTACGTTTGTTGTTCTTGTTTTGTTTTGACATGCACACTGGCGCAATATGTCCAATTTTGCTACATCTATTGCATACAGCATTTCTAAATTTACAGTTTTCTCTTGCATGAGAGTTTCCACAGCCAGAACATGATTTGAATTTTACTTTATTATTGTTATTGTTGAAAACACCCGGTTTTTTTATAATTGTACCAACTGAATTAACAGGCATTGACTTTTCGATCGTTTGTTCTTTAATTGTTGCCACCGTTTTAGTGGTTGTTTCGTACAATTCTGCAATCTGCAAAACATCAGCAAGTGTCGGCTGGGGCTTTTGGAACGCAACCGTGCGCACAGCATCGTGCGGTGTGCGTATAATAATTTGGTCACGAATCATATCATCCACGAAATTGTGCAAACAATTCTGGGCTGAGCACGAAAAGTTACACTCTCTTGCCAATCCGCGGAGATCGGCTACCCACTCTCTGTATGATTGATGTGGCTTCATTTCCCTTTTGAATCTAGTCAAAGTTTCGTAGTGAGCGGACGTGTTTTTTAACCGGTCTCGAAGAAATTTAAATTACAGTATAAAAACAAGTAAATAAGAGATATTCTTATAAATATCACTTTTGTTATTAATACAAATTCATAAAAATAGATCAGTTTTGGGCAAAAAACAATTAGTAAAAGTTAAAGTGCATAAAATATTAATTTGAAAATAGCGCGCGCTTTTTTCGATTTTTGTTGACTTTCTTTCTTTTTGCACAACTTTATTAAAAAAAATTCAAACAGCTGACAGAGACAGCAGATTAATTTCTAAAGCTTATAATCAAAAGTGAATAAGCATTCAAACAAAAGAACAGTGCGGTTTTGTGTATATATGAACAAAACAAAAAGTGCTGATAGAGACATCTATTATTATTATATTTTATTTTATTACTGAAAAAGCTGTTTATAGTAATTAAACATAATTAAAATATTCAGCTGAGACAGCATATACAACCTATTCTTTGATTAGTGTGTACACAAACCTTTATTTTAAAAGTGTTATAACACAAGATCAGTTCTTCTCAAACTGTTCATAATAGTAAACTATATTTTCATATCCTATTTTGATAATCGCTTAATTTATCGTAATGCCGGTCAATCGAACTCCACCAAAAGGTGGAGGCGAGTCAAATCACGAACAACAATCACAAGAACAACAACAACAGCATAAAACACACCAACAAGCTGTCCTATATTCAAAAGTATCCAATAATAATAATCAAACAACACTTCTACAATCAAATCAACAGCTACAACTGCAAGAAAAATCATTGCAAACCCAACAAAAACAACCACAACAGAACCAGCAAATAGAGAAACAACAAATGCAGCAGGAGTACCACATAAAACTCCAACAATCAAACCATCATCAACATAATTCACCATCAAAACTCATTCAGAATTTGGAAAACTCTGATATTAACACCAGAACTGCAAACACAACGGAAGATGCAAACACAAATAAAAACAATGGCTTCAACACGCCAGTAGTGAATAAGAGAATTCGTAGCTCCCTTGGTAAGCAAATCAATGGAATAAGCGCCAAAAAGCACAAACAAAACAAAAAACAGTACACATTAAACGAATATTTCTTAGCTACAAATAGGTTTGCAGTTCTAGCAACTGATAATGATAAAGAACCCACTAAAGATAGCAAAACAACACAAAATCAAACGGCTAAAAATAAAAAACCACCACCCATTTACGTGCAAAAAGTACAGCTGCTAGACAACCTAATTAAAACGTTAGATGCACTACAAATATCTAAATATGAAATTCGTGTATTACAAAACAATGAAATAAAAATCCAGCCATACGAATCAGCAGATTACACTAGCATAGTAAAATTTCTTTAAAAAAAAAGCGTAGAATACTACACGTATAAGCCAAAAGAAGAAAGGGGGTTTAAGATCTTCTTACGCGGTATGCACCACTCCGCTAACAAAAATGGACATGAAGTGTGCAATATACAAAACGTATAACATTCGCGCACAAAATCTCCATTAAACCTATTTACAATCGAAATTAAACAAGATGTAAATAACAAGGAAATTTACAATATCAAAGACCTACTGCACTGCAAAATAAATTTTGAACCTCCCCATCCAAAAAGAACAATACCACAATGTACCAATTGTCAAAAGTATGGACACACAAAAAATTTTTGTACAAGAAGTCCAATCTGTGTTAAATGCTCCGAAGGACATAAAACAATTGACTGTCCCATGAAAGGTAAGAACAACGTCGTTAAATGCGCTCTCTGTAAAGAAAACCACACTGCAAACTACAAAGGTTGTACAGTTTATAAAACTCTTCAAATCAAACGATTTCCAGCTCTTCGCGCAAAACAACAAAAAACCACATCTCAAAATAACGAAATATCTCTGCCAACTAAAGCTGTTACGAACCTAATAACTACCACCCAACAAACCCAACAAATCCAACCAGCTAAAACATACGCCGAAATAATAAAATCGCATCCAACTCAACCCATTCCAATAAACAATGAACCAAACAACTCCGAATTTGTCGAACTCCAGCAAATGATGAAACAGCTTATGACGCAAGTTACCAACGTTATACATATTTTAACCATCCTAATCACCAAACTCGATGGACAGAAATAAATTAAAAATTTTAGCTTGGAATGCAAACGGTCTCAGCAAACAACTACTAGAACTGAGAACATACTTAAATATCAATTCCATTGATATACTACTGGTATCAGAGACCCACTTCACAGATAAAAGTTTCATCAAAATCCCTAACTATTCGATATATCATACAAATCATCCCGACAACAAAGCCCATGGTGGAACAGCAGTAATTATTAAGCAAAATATGCAATGCTCAATAGCCAGTATATACCAAACAGAACAAATACAAGCTACAAGTGTCCATATTCAAGATACAAAAGGCGAGTTAACAGTATCAGCTATTTACTGCCCTCCGAAGCACAATAACTCGAAGGATGTATACCTGAGCTACCTTAACACTCTCGGCAATCGGTACATTGTTGGTGGAGACTTTAATGCAAAAAATACTTTGTGGGGCTCAAGAATTACCAACTGCAAAGGGAAAAATTTACATAATGCTATCATTGACAAAAAAAGCAGACATTCTAAGCACAGGTATGATATGAACAAAATACCAGACGTGATTGACTTCTTTGTGACCAAAAATATAAATAAACGATTTCTTACAGTAAGTACACTTCCTGACTTATCATCTGATCACTCACCAATTATGCTATCATATCAAAGCGACAGAAAACTAAACATCACAAGGACAAAATTAATCTATAATAACAAAACATGTTGGGACACGTTTAGAGATATTCTTAATACCGACCTGACAATAAATATTTCCTTAAAATCTGAAGACGAAATTGAAAGCGCGATTGTATGCTTAAACGAAATGATCGCTGTTGCCGTGACAAATTCTACCCCAGTTCTTAAATAAAACGACACTCAAAATAAAATCTCGATGGCAGTTAAAAGCAAGATAATGGACAGAAGAAAACTGAGAAAACAATGGCAAATAAATCGGTCCCCTGAACTAAAAAAGGACTTAAACAAACTAACCAAAGAACTTAAAATTATGCTACTTAATGAGAAAAATAAAAACCTGCAAAAACGCATAATGAACTTGACAGCTGACAAAATCACTAACTATTCTTTATGGAAAGTTACTAAAAATATCAACAACTCAGTAATGCTTCAACCACCACTAAGGAAAGCAAATGGAACTTGGGCTAGAACTAACACCGAAAAAGCTGAACTTTTTGCCACGTACTTCGAAATTACGTTTAGTAACCCAAAACAGCATGATAGCAACGTTACACGGAGCAGCTCTACTCAAAATGTCGCAATAAAGAAAGTTTCAATAACAGAGATTAAGAATACTATTAAAAATAAAATTAAAGCAAAAAAATCACCGGGATATGATAGTATCACAGGAAAGATTCTGACTGAGCTGCCTCTTCAAGCACTTGTATATATGAGAAATCTGTTTAATTGCGCTTTTCGCCTTAAGTATTTTCCAAAAGTTTGGAAAGTAGCAGAAGTAATCACTATACCTAAACCAAATAAGGACATATCTGTAACAAAATCATACAGACCAATTAGCCTATTACCAGTTATGTCAAAATTGTTTGAAAAAATAATTTTATCAAGACTAGAACCGATTCTTCATAAAGAAAAACTTGTACCTGACCATCAATTCGGCTTTCGGAAAAAGTATTCGACTATACAACAAGTTCACAGAGTTGTTAATAAAATAACTAGTGATATTGACACAAAACAATTTTCCTCGGCGGTATATCTAGATGTCGCAAAGGCTTTTGACAGCGTTTGGCATGGAGGTCTACTAACTAAACTATCAGAGCTTCTTCCAACAAACTTTTACCTCCTACTTAAGAGCTATCTACAAAATAGATACTTTTATGTGAAGTATAAAGCCACAATCTCCGAACTTAAACAAATGAAAGCTGGTGTGCCCCAAGGAAGCGTACTAGGTCCATTACTCTACTTGCTATACACAGCTGATGTCCCGATACCTTCTGATCCTCAAAGTTTGATAGCAACTTTTGCAGATGATACAGCCCTAATTGCAGCTAATAAAAATTTTAACATATCCACAGACAACTTGCAGAATTACCTAAACGCAACGCTCGAATGGTTCGACAAATGGGGAGTTCAAATAAATACAAGCAAAACAGTTCATGTTATCTACACGAATAAAAAATATGACCTAAAACGTATAAAAATTAACAATGACGAAGTCTTCACACACACAAAGGCTAATTACCTTGGCATTACTATAGATAGCAGATTAACTTGGAAAGACCATATTAAAGCTAAAAGCAATGAAATTAAACGTCGCTTTGGACAATTGTACTGGCTACTCTGCTCGAAATCAAAACTAACCGTGGAAAATAAACTTCTAGTATATAAAACAGTAATCGCTCCAATATGGAAATATGGAGCCGAAATATGGGCCACAGCATGTAAATCCAACATTCAAATACTGCAAAGACTACAATCAAAAATACTTAGGACTATCATCAACGCTGAATGGTACATCTCAAACTATGACATTCATCGCGATTTAAAGATACCCTTCGTTGCAGACGTTATCCGAAAAAATAGTAAAAAGCACACAGACAGATTACTTTTCCATCCTAACCCAACAATGAGGCAGCTACCTAATGACGAAGCCACACATAACAGAAGATTGAAACGCTTATTTCCATCAGAACTAGCAAACTAACTAATATATTCATAGCAGTCTATTTAATTGACTCATTTATTATATCATCTATCCATTAATTTTAATTATTTTATAATATTTAGTTTATATAATTTAAAGAAAAGTTTTTATTCACTATTAATAGTTCACTCATGTAATTCTTAATCTTGTTTTTGAATTATTACTTGAAGTTCCATTATGTAAAAATGTATACTAAATGCTAAATCTTGGCAGTTGTATAATAAAGGGAAGCAACAAAAAAAAAAAAACAATGTCGTTTCGACTGGAAATGATCCGTTAGTTTTTCCGTTAAATTATCGAAAGATTGTTCTTGTACTTTCGTGTTACCGAAAAGATTTTTTAGCAGCTCAAAATTTTCTGTGCCAATCCAAGACAAGAAAAATGATTTTTGTTTTTCACTGCACTGAACTGAATATGCTAAAAAATTTTGGTTAAGTTGTTCTAAGTACGATTCCCAGGTTTGCTGTTCTTTCGAAAATTTGTGAAATACTGGAACAATGTTGTGATTTTTTTCAGATACACCGGTAGTTTCTTGTTTTTGGAACATTGAGTCCATCCGCTCACGTTGTTGTTTCAGTAAATTTTTTGAGAACTCTTGTTGTTCTTTAAGCAATTGCTTATAAATTTCACTTTCGCCCGGCTTGATTGTATGTAAAATTGAACGGTACGAAATAAGCGTGAAAGGGATTGAATAATTGCAGATTTTTATCCTCGTCGCCAACTGAAGTAAATACAACCGACACGATTGACAGTTTATATTTAACTGAATTTTGTTTACATTTCATTATTTAAGATTGTTTAAACTAATGCAAAACATACTAGATTATAACATAAACGACAGGTACTTCAGTGTTAAATATGAAGGTGCACATTCAGCACTAAAGAAGATTAGCGTAGGCGTCCCGCAGGGGAGCATTCTTGGGCCCATTCTATATCTCCTGTTTACACACGACTTACCCTCTGCAAACCAACTAGTTACAGCAACATTTGCAGACGATACTGCGGTTCTAGCAATCGAAAACAATACAGAAGACGCGACGCCTAATCTGCAACACACAGTCAATCAAATTGCTTCATGGGCAAAAAAATGGAGAATCAAGCTAAATAAGGAAAAATCAGTACATATAGTCTTCTCATTGCGAAATTATAACCATACTCCAATTCATATCGATGCCACAAAAATTCCACACGCCAACGAAGCCAAATATCTGGGCATTACGCTCGACGCTAAGCTGCGCTGAAAAGCGCATGTTAAGAAAAAACGAGAAGAGCTTGACCTAAAACTAAACAAATTTTACCATCTCATTGGCAGGCGCTCTAAACTGGCAATCCACAACAAACTAATGGTCTATAAACAAATATTGAAGCCGGCTTGGAGTTATGGCATACAATTCTGGGGTTGTGCCAGCAAGAAATACATTGCAACTACGATACATCGTAAATGCTCCATATTACATTAGAAAAGTGATCTCCACCGTGACCTTGACATACCAACAGTCGACGTCGTGGCAAAAAGGTGAGCCATTGCTCACAAACAGCGATTGAAAACACATGTCAACGTTACAGCATCCAGTCTTCTCCAGGTGGTTGCAATACCTAGACGGCTAAAAAGGAAAACAGTGGCAGACTTAATGGACAGCGAGTAGCAAAATAGCTTCATTTTTTTTACCTTAAATATTTAAATCAAATTGCTTATTAGTACCTTTTTTTTTTGTTATTTGTACTAGGTGCAATATTAAAACGATTTTTGTCTTATTTGCAGATTTAACAAAAAAAAAAAATGTCGAAGAGCCATCCTACATTAGGGTGACTCAAAAAACAAAAATATGATTTTTAATGAGCACACCCGCTATGAATATGCCATTAACCAAAAAAACGATATTCCTGAAGTTGTAGAGAAATATGTAGGATTAAAAATGGTATTGCGCCAATTGAGAAAAGTTGGGTTTTCAGTACAAAAAATGAACATTTTTCAATTCAAGATCATTTTATTATTTTGTTATAACAAAAGGTGTGGGCATGAAGACTTACAAACTTGATATATAAGACGCTTTTTTAAATAATGCATTTAACAGTTTTGACGATAGAGCGTATAGAATGAGATTGCTTAGCCGAAGGATTGATAACGGTATGTAAATTTTGGATTACAATACATATATGGTATACTACAATTAATACAAAATAATCATTTTAAGAAAATCTTTTTTTTTCAGCATATATATATACATATAATATATATATATATACCATATATATGCTTTAAAACTTAAATCTGATTTGTTGTGTGAAGGTAGTTTTTATGATAGTGTTCGACTACTTGCAAATCTTGTTTTTTCATTCATGTGAAAGGATAGCAACTGATAAAACTTGTCAAGATTGTGTACGAAAAATCTTTGTCAATGATTAACTTCACACAAATTACCCGAGTTAAATGTAAATTGATCTCTAGAATAAACATTGGGGCGACGAAATTTAAAATTGTGGATATTCTTGCTTGAAATATTTGAAATTTGCCGCTTTGATATCTCTTTGATATGGAATAAAATGACTTATATTGAAAATATTCCGTTTTTTGTACTGAAATCCCAACCTTGCTTGAGTAGGACACAACGTCATTTTTATTCCTATTTCTCCAAAACTTCAGGAACATTTTTGTTTGGTCAATAGTATATTTTCAGGAGGTGCCCTCATTCCAAAGTTCATTTTTAAATTTCTCCCTTATAACGTGAGCCACCCTAAGTGATCGGTAGGAATAACCACAACTTTTTCAGCAGCCCTTTATATTAAACTTTATCTAAATTTTATGCTATGCTCGAAAGCTTTCTTCATAGTATCAAAAATATTCTGAAGTTGAGCTTGTGTAGATTGTTGCTCATAAAGCCAAACTAAAGAGCTGGAGTCAGACGTCTACCGACCACAACTCTA